TTTTTTTTTTGGTAGCATTTTGGCTGGGACTTGTTTGAACCCGCCACCTCCACTATATGGAGCTGGTGCCCTACTCCTTGAGCCACAGGCTCTGTCTAGTATGATAGCTTTTTTCACCAGTCCACATTTTGTGGAAAGAAAACTAGCCACATAGTTATTTTTCCAAACTGCTTGTGAGTTTCCACTATCCACTCCCCTGCTGTCCCAATACCCCCATCCCTGTATACACCCAGCACTCACTTCTGAGACCAATTGGGTTTCATGCCAGACTGGGTGGAGAAAGCCTGCACCATTTCCTGCTGTTCCTGGGAGAGGATGGCCATGGGGCTAGAGCACAGTGTGGTCACTGGATTGGAGAAGGCACTCTGGGTCTCTTGGGAGCTGGCGTCCCTCACAAACAGCTCATCATTCACGATGCACAGACTAGAGGAAAAATTCACCCTCAAACACTTGGACACATAGACAACCCCACACCGCCAATGACCAGATACTCCTTTATCACTGCTACTCAGAAGCCAAACTCCTTCCATATCCTGACTACCTGACTTCCACCTTCCTTGGCTGGGAGCCCACCTTTGGAGAGACTGCCAGATTCTCTAGATTTGTAGATTTAACCCCAAAGCGTTTACCCTGTACAACAGCCCAAGTGGATATACTCTTATCACCACTTACAGGGGAAGGCACTTAATCACACAGAGGTCAAGTAGCTTGATGAAGTTTACACAGTTAGTGACTGCTGGGGGTCAGGAAGGGAGCTTGTATTTGGACTGCAGAGCCCACACTCTTTAAACACAAGGCTAGATTGCTCCTTGGATCTACCTGTTGGCCTTTCACAATACTGAGACTACCTGGAGGACTGTACTACCACATTACCACACCACCAGCCCCAATCTGAGATGGGTGTTCACACCCACAACATAGCACTTACTTGGAATTGCTTCCAGGGGTAGCGATGAAGGTCCGACTGAAGGCAAGAACAGAATCCTGATATTCTCCTTCCGCTTCAAAGACAACAAACAATACCCGCTCAGAGTTGCACACGCTTTACTTGCTCACAAGCCATTCCCCAGTCAGGGTTTTACTTTTATACTCACTCGGAAGGGGCCCAGACCAGATCAACTGCTCACTTAATAGGCAAGAGGGTGTGGTGGAAATGGGAAGGGCAGCAATAGGAAGAATCCACTCCCAGTGACAAGGCCCCTATCATGTGTAAGGTCAGACCCTGTGAAAACCACTTCCCAAGTTCACTTGATTCCTGTGTCACAGGAACCCAAGAGAGGGTTATTCTTAGCCCTACTCTTCAAATGAGGAAACTGAGGGGTTAAGTGACTGCCCCAGGTTCACAGAATAAGGAGCCAGGATGAGAGCCATCAGGGTCCACAGCCTGTGTCCTTAGCATCTGAGCCACGCGGCACGGCATACAAGCATGAACCTAGGTCAGACGAGGATGGTTTTTCAGCAGGGTGAGGGTCAGAGAACACAGAGGGAAGAAGTGGAAGAAAAGCAATGAAATCAGGGGATCTGGGAGAGTTCCGAGGGGGAAGCCCAGACAGGGCAAGAACAGTGCGGGACCTGGGAGGGGACCCGACTGATACTCACTTTCCTTGAACACCCCGTTGATAGAAAAGCAAAGCATCTTTTCCTGAAAAGGAAGAGCCCAGATTTTCAGGACCATCCTTCACCTCCCACCCACCTCTGGCTTCCTGGGCCTGCCTGAGGGAGGAAGCAGGCACTCACCGTCTGGAACCACATGTCCACCCGGAAGGAGTTGAAGTCATGCTGAGTTTTAGGCAACGTTATGAGGGTGTCCACGATTTCACATTTTGTGTGCTTCAGCAGCCGCCTCCTCAGGTCTGTGAGCGAAGGAGAAGCAAAGATTGAGGCTGCCACACCTTGGCACTGGGCCTTTATGAATGTCCCCTTCATATCACACACCCCTTTACCTTGCTCAGTCTTCCCTGTCACACTCTCACAGGGGTCCTTGATCATTTTCAAATTCCTGCTTTCCTTGAAGTACTCACACAAGCTGCTCCTAGGAGGGAAAGAGGAACAGGGGGTGGTGGTCCATCCAGTGCAGGCATTTCCATGAGCTGGCCTGTGACTGCTGGGGAGCCACACAGCCTCAGAGCAGAGTCTGAGCCTTGATACTCACGAAGCAGAGTCCTCGCTGTTGATGGGAATGGTCAAGGAAAAGCAGGCCTCATCATGGTAAGCACTGAGGAGACTCTGCCTGTTTCCATAGTCATAGATGGAATAATACCTGTGGGGAGCAATGGGGATAGGCTACTTCTGGGATCTGGTTCCTAAATGAGATTTGAAAACTCTCATGAGCAGTCCAGAGCTTGGGTGGTCCAGTCTGTCCCATCTCTTCCCTTCCCTGTGGTTCCTAATGGTACTTACTGCTTCAGGAATTCTAGGACTAGACTCTTTATGGTATCAGGTCCTTTATAGCTTTCCTGGAATCAAAAGACATTTTAGACTATGTAGATGACAAAGAATCCCTCGAGTCACCCCACATCTTGCTTGGTTCTTTTTCCTTACCTGGGAGGGTTTTATTAACTCAGGGACTCGAATGTCAACAATAATTGGTGAGGGTAACTCTTGTCCATCCTAGAGAAGGGAAGGGGGAGTCAGCAGTGGAGACTAGGAAGGTGCCACTGGAGGACCAATGGAATGAACGGGCCTGGAGGGGAACTAGAGTCAAAGGTCAGGAGTGAAAAGACTCTGGAAATTCCAGTAGGTGTTATATGCAAACACCTATGTGTGTATGTATGCACACATGCACGCATGTTTTGGATATCTTTTTCAGGGAGAATATTATTGCACTAGTCAAACATCCATAAAGAAAAAAAAAAAACAAACATCCGCGTCCTCTACAGTGGATGAGGGTATGATACAAACATGTCATCTAGGCAAGACACAAAGGGTTTGAGAGCAGGTGAGGAGGTCATGCATGTTAGTAAGAATGAAAGAAAACAATGGTGACGGTAGATACTTACCAAACGTAACAATTTGGGGAAATAATCCTGGATGGCACTGTCCAAAACCAAAAAAGAATGAAGTGAATAACAGTTTAGGGTGG